TTAATTATCCGACTTCAAGTTGAAAAGTTTCACTTGGACCGAAAAAAAAAAAAAAAAAAAAAANCGACGTGGCGTGGAATGGCCTTCTCTCGAAAAAAAAAAAAAATGAAGGCAAGTGGGCTGCCGAAAACTGTGGAGGAGGGGAGAGAGAGGGGGGAGGGGGAGGGGTGGACAAACGGGACGAGCGACGTTTGACGAGAGAGAGAAACTCTCTCGATAAATAAATCGAATTGATGCATTGCGTGTATCCGGCAAAAAGTTCGCCAGTGGCGCGCTGTTAAATCAATAGCGACTCGATTGTGATTGTATAAAAAAAAAAAAAAGCGATTTGTCAGTCTAGATTCGGTACAAGAACAGATAGAATAAATAAATAAAAGGAAAAAGATCGTATACCTTGTCTCTTCTTTTTTTTTTTTTTTCTTTTATTTTCCCCTTCCAATTTTAACGAAAAGTAAAGCTTCGTATCTTCGATTCGGTGATGCAATTAATTCGCATGATGCATAAGCAATATCATCGAAATCAATCGGAACGTGGCCAAGCGCGAAACAAATGATAATAAATCGCAAACGATCGAGGGGGGGGAGGAATAATATTTGTAGCGGTTCGTATTCGCGGTTATTTTTCCTCTCAAACTCTGCGATTGAACAGTACGAATAATAATAATAATAATCTGTTCGTTAAAATACCATATTAGAAAAAAAAAAAAAATTTACCATCAAAATGCGATCATCGTTGTAACGCAGGCGGATAAAGCAAAGCGTTTGATAACGCGATTACCTCCCTCCCCTGTCCTCCTTATTTTTATTTTTATAGTGCCACGGCGTTTGCTCGTAATTCACTTCGGCGGAGAGAGGAAACCCTGTTACTGGTTGCAAACATTATAATTAAAAGTAGTAGAAGCGTGGTCCGGTTATCGCCGGTTTAAACCAACGGCGTAAAGCAACGATGGAAGCATCCGCTTTTGCTCTCCATAATAACGAAATTATTGCACTTCCCTCTCTTTCTCTTTCTCTCTCTCTCTCTCTCTCTCTCTCTCTCTTTAGTGGCCGCTCTCGCGCCGCTGCGATTATCGCAGTTGAACAAAGCACGTTCCACTATTTATATTTATAAGCTTATTCTCCGCCCGTCGAAATTCCGCCGCCGTTTCTTTTCATACGATTATTATTTAAATCTCTCATCTTCGTCTCATCGTCTCGTCGCATTTTCATTAACGGAAAAAAAATGGAAGGGAGACGTGGAGAGGAACAATTGGAAATTGGTAATGGAAACTGAAATAACAAAAAGATTATTTAGTAAAAAGGAATCGCCTTTTTCTTTCGAATTATTTCAGTAAAACAAGAGGCTTCTTCCTCTATCCCATCAGGATAGAGAGGTTCTTACTTATTTAGTTATTTACTCTCCCCCCTCCCATTTACAGATTCGTACACACGTGGTCGTGTCCGGTAATAATTTGCACGCGTCGCGCTAATGCTTCTCGAAGCATCGAGCCTCTTCCTTTCTCCTTTTCCCACCACTACCACGCTGAAACACGTACACACAAAGAGGCCGTTGCACGCGTAGACGCGTGCAAATGGGATGGGAGGGGCCGGAGGCAAAACTGCGGAAAATTGAAATTAATGAATAACCGGCCTCCCCTCCTCCTGTTTGCTCCCCGCCCCCTGCTCCTCCTACGCAACGCGGGGACCCGGTGGAAAATCGTCGTGGAACAAAGGGGAGTGCGGCTGGAGTACGATGGAAACGACGATATAACGATGACACGCAACACGAGGGTATAAAAGCGCGGTGGTGTAGCAAGGGTTGTCTTCTTCCCTCCTTTTCCCTCCCCTCTTCTTCACATCGTCCTTCGGAGACACCTTTTTCGCGTCTTGTTACAGGCGACAAATGCTTTTTTAACGAGTTCTCCACGGATGGGATTTTCTTTCGTGATAAATTATGCAGACTGAGGGTGTCAAAGTGAGGGGAAAGGGTGGAAATTGTTTAAGAATCTCTTTGCTGTCTGCTCGTCGTCGGTATCAGATTTAATACTCTCGGATGCCTGTTAATTTGCAGTCGACCGATCCTTGCGAGAAGGCGAGGGCACTCGCCGTGTCGAGGTCTGCCCTCTACTGTCGCAATCTCGTGCAGGAGGGCACCTTCGGTCGGGTCTACAAAGGCACGTTGGAATTGGCCGGAAGGGAGCAAGAAGTCATCATAAAGACCGTCACAGGTATTGATGCGTTACAATAATTTATATCTAGATTTTTATTTCCGATTCGCGTGGTGAAAAAATAAATTCCTCGTTATATACTATTCTTGTTCGTATTCTTGTTCGAATTTTCGCGACGATAGTCTGCGTTAGCAACGCGCGATAAGGTAGAGAATCGTGCGTACCTACAGCCGGTTACACACTCGTGAAAACTTTTTTATTCGCGAATTCTCTCCCACTTTCGAAATTCAAAATCGAATCGAAATGAGTAATGGAGAAATTAACAATTTTAGAAGTGGCATCGGCTTATCAAGCCTCTTTGCTGGTGGTCGAGGGATCGCAATTGGCAGGATTGGTGCACTCGAACATAGCTTCGCTCGCTGCCGCATGCCTGGACAGTTCTTGCCCTTTATTGGCGTACACGAGCACGCCAGGCGAGTTGAATCTGAAGCTCTACCTTACCGACGGAAACCACCATCCCGGCACAAGGGATTTGGTGCACGTTGGTGCACAGGTTGCCAGAGCAGGGGCATTCTTGCATGGTCGTGGCCTCCTGCACAGGTGTGATCGCATCTCTACTACTTTTTGCGTTCGACCACTCGTCGAGAGTCGATTAGCGTGTTTTTAACCGATTTGTTTTCACGCAGAGATGACTAAGTGACAGTAGATAGTCAAATACCATTATTCGTGTCACACGAGTAAAACGTTATGCAAAGAAAAACCACTTAAAAATAAAAAAAGAAAAAAAAACGAATCTTCAAATAGATCGTGTTTATACGAGATACAAGAAGGAAATTGGAACGCTCTGTGTGTAATCGAGCGTATATACTTTTCAGGGATATCGCTGCCAGAAATTGTCTGATCGAGCCAAGCAGTCTTCGTGTCCGATTAGCCGATACAGCTTTGGCGCGAGATCTCTTCCCTCAGGACTACCATTGTCTCGGTGATAACGAGAACAGACCCATTCGTTGGATGGCCTTGGAGACCCTCCAGCACAATCAGTACAGCACTGCGACAGACGTGGTGCGTATCATGAAGCATTGCCATAATCTCAAGATATTTAAATTATTCCTAAAAATAATCGTATATTATTAGCATTAAATGTAATTATAGTACGAGATATAATTACTCTTTTTTTTTTCTTTTTTGCTTTGGATTTAAATATACAAGATTTATACATATACGTGTAATAATGTTTACAATACTTATATATAGTGGAAAAAAAATTATTCCAAAGTACAAAAAAAAAATTATTTAAATCAAAAGATGTACCGAACAGTTAGTTAATTTACTTATTAATAATACATACGCCTCATTAAAAATGCATGCATAATGCAATTTCTGTTGCAATATTATCGAACTGATACATAGAATACAAAGTATATAGTTACTTGCAACAAATTATCATTTTCAAGTGACATTGTCGAAGATATGGTAGACGTTATCGAGGAAACTTAAAATTGAAAAAAGCCACATGTCATAAATATGAATAGAGTTAATGAATATTAATTACAAAAGAACTTGGAAAGGAATTGCTTCCAGCATTGTTTCAAGCTAAATATTTGGCTGAAATTCATTCATCTTGTTTGATTAATATTTTGCTCGAATCGAATAATCCAACCAATTCGAAATTAATCGCCGAAGATAAAAAAAAAAAAAAAAAAAANAAAAAAAAAAAAAAAGAAAAGAACACATCGTTGTATCAACAATTATTGCTTATTACATATACACTTCGAGAATTTCGAAAATTGTTCACACATTTAAAAAAACCACTCGCAATAACATTTTTAACTTTGTATCCGATAACGAACGGTTTAAACGTATGATACCGAATGTAAATGACACAAATGATGATTCACTTTTACCGACCAACGACAAATTCTTCCACGTTCTCCCTCTCTCTTCATCTTATTCTTTTCCGTTCCAGTGGTCGTTCGGTGTGTTCCTGTGGGAATTGGCGACGATGGGCCAGCAACCGTACGTCGAGGTTGACCCGTTCGAAATGATGGCGTGTCTCCGGGACGGTTACCGACTGGCCCAACCGAGGCCCTGCCCCGACGAATTCTTCGCCGTGATGGCCGTCTGTTGGTTAGGCCTGTCCAGGGATCGGCCGACCATGCCTCAACTCCTCGCCTATCTTCAAGACTTTCACGACGCCCTCGGCGGTTTCGTTTAAAGAATATAATTCGAGACTCGTGTTGCTCCCAACAGTTCCTTCGAAACTGCGCTACACACATACACACACATACACAGAGTCGCGTTAAATCTCGAGTCTTTCTCGATTCTCAAAGAAAGGAAGAAAGAGAAGAAAAAAGAGACTCGATGAAACGCGACAAATCTTTGAAAGTATGATGATGAAAACACGTACGTCCAAATGGTGGTGGTACGGGTTTAAAAAAAAAAAAAAAAAAGAGAAGTGGAAAAGAGATGGAATTGAAAATCACTGCCCATTTGCGATTATCGATTGTCAAGCGACGGTTATTATTATTATTAAGTGGTACTCGATTGCTATTCCCTTGTTGCCGCGCATTTCGTTTTCGAAATTTCCTTTCTTTTTTTTTTTTTTTTTTTTTCTTTCTTTCTTTTTCCTTTTCGAAAAACACGCGCGCAATTCCACGCGGATTTAAAAATGATTCGCTGGTGGACAACGTGTGTAGATATAGATAGATAGATAGATAGATAGATAGAATCGCGACCCTCCCCTCCCTTCCCCTGATGAAAAAACATCGACGAGCGTGTATGTAATATATCCGTCCATAGCAGTTAAAAAAAAAAAGAAAAAAAAAAAAAAAGAAACTTGAAGCGCACGATATTCCTTTTTTTTTGTTTGTTTGTTTATTTGTTTTTGTTTTCTTTCCCGCGAAACACGCGACGAAACATCCGCCGAAGCGGATAGAAAACGCGGTAGAACGCGTACGAGGGCACCTGTGAACCTGCAACCGGTGCCGCGCGGCGCGCACAGTCTTTCACAGCGACGTTGAATGAACTATGCTTGTTGCATGGCATGCGCGCACGCGAACTTTATTCTCGAAACTTCTTCGCTTCTTTCTCTCTCTCTCTTCTAAATATGCATATATCGTTCCATCTCTTCGTAAAGGAAATCTCACTTTACGCGATGATCGCTTTTACTTTTCGAACTTCGGATTCGATTCTACGAGCGCAACAATCAAAAAAAAAAAAAAAAAAAAAAAGAATTTTGTCCGCAATCGAAGAAAGTGTTTTTTTCGATCTTTCGAAAAATTTTGAGGCAAAGGGGACGAATATTTTTCTAGACTTTTGAAGTTCGCGTCAATATTTTTACATTGTACATTTATTAGAACGCGTTATTTGATCGGTAATTCCAGTCCAATGCGAAAAGAAGAAGAAAAAGAAGAGGGAAAAAAGGAAACAAAGTTTTTCGCGTTCTTTTTTCTCTCGAATATCTGTTTTGCAAAAGTACATTCGGGATATCGATCGATGGTGTAAGAGATCACGATATTATGTTACGTAAGAATATACTTTTTATGTATATATATTGAGAATAAGAAAAATTCTCGAGCAGAGCGTTAGAGCATTAGGCAGGTTCGCGGAGTGAAATTATCTATGCGGTTATCTACAGTGTGTGTTATACACCGGTGTATATAGGTGGCGTTAACCTGGAAAAAATATTTGCTTGCAACCATTTTATAAATAATGCATTAAGTTCGAAAAAGGGGAAAGTACGAAGCGAGAGGGGAGAAGGCGAACAGTGGCGAAAATGGCTCGCCTCCTTGCTGTTCCACGAGAAATTATTCTCGAGGAATCATCGAAACGAAAAAAAAAATCTCCTAAAGAGACATAGAGAATGTCACATAAAATTCTCTGGATTATTCCCTAAGATTAATTATTAAACATGAAATTAGAAAAAAGGAATCGATATCGCGAATGTATTTTGGGCAAAAATTTAATGAGACTTGTTCGATGGAAAAATTGCAGTGACCAACGTTATTAACACAGTAACACAGTTTCGAGGTTATGTTTATGCGCGCCGTTGTTGACGAGATGATTGTCCAGCGAGAGGAAGTTTCAACATTTCTACAATTTCGAAGATGAGAGATGAATGATATTTCTTCGATTCTCGTACAGTTCCCTCTACCTCTGCTCTCGTATTATATTTTCACACTCGTCTCTGAAACACAATACGCGTGGCATCAATACGACGAAGGTAAATGGGAAAGGAAAAACACTTTCGCATTGTGAATTTATAAGAGCGCGAGCAAATGTGGAACAATGTATCGTCGTTAAGCAAAGAAGGAATTTCAAACAAATTGTTAATCAAACACACTCTCTTAACCTTTTGAAACTTTTTGTTGTTCGCGTCGTTTCGCGTCCAATTTCACGAAGTCCTCCATCATTTTTACGAAGAATCGATATTCGTCCACCAGATCGCGCTCTCTGCGTTCGTTGCGTTTAAGCGACGACAGACGGCGAAACGTAAAGAAAAGCGAACAACGACGGGGGAGAAGAAGAAAAAGGACACACTTGTCGATGCGTACACACCGTTGCGTAAATGGGCGGTAATCGAACTTGTAACTTAGTATTTATGTATCTATTTAATACCACATCGCGCAAGCAAGTCACTTCATCGCAATATCCACCACCAGACGTCTCGCGTCTCCGAATTAAGCTCGGATTTTCACTTTTATCGTATATCCTCCTCGAGTGGCCAACCACTCGACATTTTTGTGAACCATCTTCTATGGTTCCAGCCATTTGACACGCGATGTATAAGTGTACATGGTACGGTGGAAGTGTCAAGAAGGATGTTATTTAATTAATATTAAGTAAGATAAGAGATGTACATAGTGAATTTTAAACGGTGAATTGTAAAGATGCTAACACGATACTAGTCGTGTTATTTAAATTACATATTTATTTGGATATGTACGGCCGACTCGAGAAGAGAACACTTCGTGGACACACTTCTAGTCTCTTTCTCTAGTCTCGATTGATTTTTATAATGATACGTTAATCTCGTTATCGAGCTTACTAGAAAAGCGTATTTTTAAACTATCGATTACTTTTTTTGTACAACTTTGATGTTGTACAACTTTGACATAATTTATATATACATATACATATATATATATATAACGTTTTGCTTTCGATCTATATAAAAGTCGACTCGAGCAAGAAGGAAGATTCGCCGCATTTCGGAGAAGAGAAGAAAGTTGTTGAATTTAAAAAAAAAAAAAAAAAGAAACAGCGGCGAAAAATCCCTGAAAAGACGCGAGATGACGTAAAACACACACGTTTTTTAAATGTATTCGATGTGTAAATGTCGCATGTTCCTGACTACGACCATTAATAACTTTATCGCACTCTTTCTCTTTCACTCTCTCCCACTCTCTCTCTCTCTCTTTCTCTCTCCAGTTTTCAACTTATACACACCTCCACCTTTTCTTTAGCATTTATAAAAATGCTAAAAATCTACGATCATTTCACGGTAAATGTGTAGCTATATACGGCTCACGAGCATATTTCAACTAACCACTAATTAATATTTAACCCACTATTTAAAATAATTATCTCTCCCGCTAAACTATTCATTATATACGACGTTTATTCATCCTGAAGTCGAGTTTCATTTCCCAAACGAAATCGTCGTCGACTTTATAATACAGATGTGTATAATTCACCGAGATTAATCATAGAGATAAGGGATCCTCTTCGATGTCTTATTCTCCCCTCCCCCCGCCCGCCTTCGTTTCATTAATGAGGAGGAACAGGGTAGGCCAGCGCTGCACACTTTTTTTCGCTATCTCGCCGTATTTAGAAGAGGAAGAAGAAGAAGAAGAAGAAGAAGAGGAGGAGGAAAAAAAAGGAAAGAAAAAAGCTTCGCGTCTCCACGCCACCTCTTTTCTCCCTCTTACTTGCACTCGAAGAGAGGTACTCGAAGAGGAAATCGGCGGTATCCGCCTTCCCCCCCCTCCCCCCACCTAACGCAACCAAAGACAACCACCTCATCTCACGAGACAGTTCCAATCATCTGTAAATAATAATCTCTAGCGAATAATAAGTGGTGCGCCGAGTGAGTTGATTTGTGCAGATTCTATTATTTCCTACGACGATTTACGGCGATTTATTTTTCAACGGAGAATGAAATATACGTGTTAAAAAAAAAATTTCTTTTCCATCATTTTATCCAATAATAACTTTCCATTGGACATCCATCGAAAGAAGAAAAACTTATTAATAAATATACTTAAGATGATAATTATCCTCATATCCCGATAATTTTTTTTTTTTTTTTTTTAATACTTCAATAAAATGTTTCAATTGACTTTGTTTATTGAAAAAAAAAAAATTTACTAACCTAAACCGATATTTATTAAATTTTTCTCAATCTCTTTTTACATTAATTTCATCTCGAATCAAAGTTAAATAAAAATTCATCGTCGCAACAAGTTTCGATCCTAACCTTAAAAACTTTTCACGAATAATTACCAAATCTACAAATCTAAAAATATTTCTATTACACAGTTTCGAGAAGATAATTTTTAACCAAAAAATCGAAGCAGCAATGCATCGAGTCGAACTCGACCATGCCCGCTCTCCAAAGAGCGTGGTAAAGGTACACCTCGTACACATTGAGCTGCTGTAGGAGAGAGACCCTTTCTAAAATCGCGGGAGCCGACCGGAAACGGTGCGAAGGCCCCGAAAGAGGAGGACGAGGAGTGGGGGAGCGTGGTCGAGCGTGGGGGAGGGAGAGAAAGAGAAAAAGACGCGAGAAAAGAGAAGGAGGAGGAGGGCAAAGCGTGGAGGGGCACGCACTATTTCCTAATCGAAGCGAGAGAGAGAGCGAGAGAGAGAGAGAGAGAGAGCGAGAGGCAACCGACCAACGAAAATGAAAGTGACGGAGAAAGTTGGGGCATTGTTACGGAGCGTAAGCCCAGCGTGTGACGATGTTGTATGCCTGAAAATCCGATTTCGATTCGTGTGGGCACGCGTTCTCACTCCTCCGCTCATGCGCATGCGCGTGCGCGTGTATATATCGATCACGTGCGCAATAAGAACTGAAACCTTTGCTCACTCACGATTTTTTTTTTGATTATTTTTAGAAGAGGAATATACGTACGTAAGTACGATTTATCATCGATTGTAAATTTTTGATAAATATTTGGAATTTTTCTTAACCCACTAAGCTGATTGTTTACGTTGTTCGTAACGAGTTAATAAAAAGAAAATATCCATTTTTCGAGTCTAAACATGGATAGTTACGCGATTAATATTCGCGTAAGGGCGCGAGTCAAGGACAGTTAACTCTATAGATTTCTAAATTATCGACTATCTCTGTTTACCGGCGTTGCGAAATTCATTGCTCCGAGTTGGAGAAGAAATTGGGTCGTTAAATACGAATTTCTTTTTTTCCTTTTTTCTTTTTCTCTCGTTTCTAAGTAATTTCCTTTTTCATGATAATACAGTGATACCGTAACGACGTAACGTTTTTTTGAATCCAATAGATGATTTATTCGCGATAAATGAGAAAAAAGTCGCTAAAATTTTTTTGTTAGCGTCTGTTGGTATTTTTTCCAAATTTAAATTCTGAACGAAACCAAACTTTTATTCATATACGTTATATTTCGACTCGGTAAAGTAAAAAAGAAGTTAAAAAGAAGAGGCAAACTCGTTGCAAATTTTAAGAACGTAACTCGAATAAAAACGTGAAAAAACGTGTATACACGTAGGAAAAAGAAAACGTTTCGGTTCGAAAATAATCTTACGAATTATTATAACCGATTTTTATGTCGAGGTTATCGTTACCAAAAACGTCTCACGAATATTTGGCAGGGTGAAAGCCCTAAGTGTCCTCCCCACCCTCCTCCACTACTAGTTACGCCATTCACTATGGATCATTGGTATTGCGATATCTCGAAACTTTCTCTTTGAGTTAATAAATCGTAATAGATTATTAACCACTATTGTAGACGAAGAAAACTTTCTATGTAACAATTGATTACTTTACTGGTCTTGTACACCAGTTGAATAATTTCTAACCATTGTTATCGTAAATGTTGCGCAATCTCGTCAAATCTTCCAAATTTATATATTTTTCGTTCTTACAAATATCATTATTGTGGAACAAACGTGAAATGTAGATGATAGAATTTCTTCGTATTGTACGAAGAAGTTAAACTTTGCAACAAAGTGAAAATGAATTTCACTTTGCGTTCACATCGATGCCCGAAACAATTTTGCTCGCTATCAGTTTTCAATTATGTAGCTCGTTCAAAATTTAATTATTCGAAAGTAAACGCGTTCCAATAATATATATAATATGTATACACAACGCTCTCGCTCGAATCGTCATATTATCGATGCGATCATGCCACCAAGAAGCTTGAGGGCAAATATCATTTCCAGATGGAAAGAAAAAGAAGAAGAAGAAGAAGAAGTAAAAGAAACTAGAAAGAAGTATAGAAAAACGAAAACAACGTTGCAGAAAAATATGCGGTTACTCGGCAGAGAACGGAAATACGAAGCAATAAATACGAAGTAACTTTTTTGTATTTTCTTTTTCTCTCTCTCTCTTTCTCTCTCTTTTCCGCGAAACCGAATAGTAACGAAGTATAGAAAAGTTTCCTTTCCTCGTTACCTAATTTCCGTTTTTTACCATTCGTCGCGATGACAAGGTTACCATCGTCGGCCATAATGAAGCTCTCGCTCCGAGAAAGAGAAACAGAGAAAGAGAGAAAAAGAGGCGAGAGAAGAAAGGGGAAAGAAAAAAGAAACACATACATACATACATATATACATACATACATACATACATACATACATACATACATACATACATACATACATACATCATACATAGGTGCATGTAATCGACGCATTAGTGCACGGACACGACGTTAAAAGTCTAACCAACTGACATAAGAGGCGGCCGACGAAAGTGCCACCTTACATAATTCGAGCACGGGACACATTCGTCCTCGTGGTACGAGTGGTAGAGGGAAACGAATTGTCGACACTCGTCGTGGAAAAAGAAAAAAGAAGAAGAAGGAAAAAAAAATGGATGGAAATCGTGCAAGAAACTAATTACCGATTGTTTCGTCGAGCAGACATGCGCTTCGCTTTTTTTGCGATTCCACGCTCGTTCGAGAAACGACGTTTATTACGAGGAGGATTCCGCGATCCTTCATCTTGAAATATTATTTAAACGGACGTTTTTTCGAATAATTCTTCCCGATTCTTTTGTGCCTCGTGTTTTCAACATTCGTTGAGAAATATTTATCTGTGTATGAAAGATGCTTGAATATATATCCTTTTCAAAGGATATTCGAATCTTTGGGAAGTTTATTATATATATTGAGATTTGACGCGTTTTTTTCTTTCTTTTTTTTTTTTTTTTTTTTTTTTTAAATGATATCTGATAATATCTTTATATAAGTTAAAAGTAAGTTAAAAATAAATTTCCTTTCTTAGGAAACGAGGAGCTGGATCGTTCGAAAAAAAAAAAATATCATTCGTTTTATTCGAAGAAAACGATCGATTTAAATCTATCTATCGTAATAACCTGTTCCAATTATGCGATATAATTTATTCTTGGATTGAGTCACATCCAATTATACACAGGCTCCACATTGTAACAACATTTTAACAAAATACTCTTAATATTCGTATACAAGAATAATAAGTCGAATTTGTAAATTGCGTTCTATTTCGCGCATTCTATTTGAATTTTTTAAAGTGGAAAAATTCCCAACCGATAATTTCACTTCTTCGTCATATTTTTTAAAAAGCTAGAAACGCCATACGGGAATTTTCCATTGATCCTTCTAAATTCAGAATCTAATTTTATCACTGATTTTATCACGGTTATTACTTTTAAACGGCAATTTTCTTTGGCCTTGTATTAAAAATTATAGTACTAACTGCAATAACGCGTTGAAATTGCATTTTACTATACGGCGGAAACAGATAAAAGCTTTTTTTTTTCTCTCTTTTTTAAAAAAGAAAGAAGAAAAAAAAAAACGCTGAAACGACCTTCCAGAAGACACGATAAAAAGAAAATAAATAGTTTTGTCTCCCGACTCAAAAATTGGTCACGAGGAATTTGTCACTGTTGCTTGATTTTGAAAAAAAGAAGAAGAAAGAAAAAAAAAAAAAGAAACTTCAACTTTGCCGATCAATGATACGATCAGCGTCACGGTGCAACAAGTGTGTGTATATATATGTGTGTATGTGTGTGTGTGTGTGTATGTACGTTCCAATCCCCGTGAAAAATACAAATTAAATTTCAATACTTCAAGGGCGGCGATCCATCAATTACCAATACTTTTACCTTGGAGACAAATTAAAAACTTCAAAATTAATTTCAAAGAGTCAAGTTCAATGTATATACATTTTTAAATACCTACCTACGTATAATTCTCTCTTATTTTCCACGTCGCTCCTCTTTTCCACGCCCATCCCTCGAAATCAAAATCGTGAGTCACATCACTGTGAATCATGAAGCGAGCATCATCATCATCATCATCATAATCATCATCATCATCGCAATTTACACGCATATAGACGCAATTTCTTCTCTTCTGAATGAAAAAAGAAAGGATCGCTCGATATATCGGGTGACAAAACGTCGATTCGCATTATCCCGGAGTTTGTCCATCCGGTTCTCCTCCTCGACCAGTTTTTCCCTGTCCGATTAAGGACAACCGACCGGTCGCCTCACCCCTCGTTGCTTTACTCGCTGCTCGCGGCTTCGCTCGAGAGATGGCTCTCGATTGTTTCCCCCTCCCCTCCACCACCACGCGCAACAACCGTAATCGTTTCGAACGAGACAAAGGGACTCGATGACGATCGATCGCTCTTCTTTATAATTATCGATTCTCTCGTTCGCAGATCGACGAAAAAAAAAAAAAAAAAAGAAAAAGTGCGAGATAGAAGGCAGAATAGGAGGGAAGAATAAATAATCCATCGAATTTTTTTCAAGGTTCAGAGAATCGTCGAACGAAGGTTTAATTTGGGAGAAGAGGAGAAACGGTGGACAAACGGTGGAGGATCGGAGATTCTAATCAAACGTTGCGGCGATCGAGGGGAAGGGTTAAAGTGAAACACTTGGAAAGGCGGCT